ACAATGTGCTCACGTCGGTTCTTTGCGTTAGTGACATTTTATATTTCACGTGCGCCGCGTTTGCATTGTTGTGTCCGCTTTAGTATTTTATAATTTATTATATTAGAGTTTAGAATCCCTGATTAGGGCTGTACACCCTTCGTATACTCTTCATCAGCTGTGTAACCAACTTATAGTCCGGTATACCGTATACCCGGTTGAAGAGCACTAAGCAAGACTATCAGTTATTCTGTGCAATAATTCAATTGTTTAACGTTGATGTTTATTTGTAGACATCCCGTGTAGTAATTTCGTCTTATTTTCTGTTATATCATATTGTCTAACGAAACTGAAAATACGCTTTGTCATATATTATATATATATAGTTATGCAATGATTCAGCACTAAAATACAGGTCAAGAGTTACAGTTAAAAAAACGTTGAAACGAAACGGCTCTCTATCTCCGCAAGTGAGCGACTGCAAAAGTCCATTTGCCTATTTTTATCTCAAATTTATTTTTTATCAAGAAACCGTGAACTATAAATAGTTATGCTACATGAAGTCGTAATAGTGTGAATGTTCGATTCGAGACAAAAATATTCGATTAGAATTCAGACCTAATGATATTAGATTTTATGTATTCCCGCCCGATATGTTTAAAAGACTCGCTACGTATGTGCATGAGTTCACAAGGGTGCGTCAACGATTCGTAGGGGTCATATTTCTGACTCACTAATGACCAACCCCATTAGATTCATTGACGGGATCCGATGCTACTGCATTGTCTCAAGTTAGGGGGGCGAAAGGCTGCCTGCATTTTTTTAACTAGTTCTATATAACTAGCAACCAACGTCTCACTCGCCCCACCCCCCAAACAATAAGATTTTCAATTTTTTTTTAAGGAATTTTGCGGCATTTGCAGTGAGACATCCAAATGAACAAAACGATCCTCCTCCTCCCAAAAATTGTGAGTTGGCTACGGTCTTGCCAATATACCCAATTTCAAGTAGCCAACCTACGCTATTTGGAGCTCCCAATGTATGTCCACCATGATGGCGCGCAACCTGAATATAGTGAGTGTACCAGGTTAGGGTTCAGGTTGTGCGCCATCTTGGTGCACATACTTCAGGAACACTAGCTATGTACAGTATATATAAAAATTACCGCCGTCAACAAATAGTAGGATGTATATAATATGCTAAAAACAGAAAAGCTTCGTGAATTCTGTACGATTCGAAAAAATATTCGATTGAAATCAGGAATCGCAACCTTGCATACCTGCATACCAAACACTAGCCATATGTACACAAATTCACACGGGTGCGTCGACGATTCGTTGGGGTCATATTTCTGACCCACTAATGACCAACCCCATTAGGTCCATTGACGGGGTCCGATGTCACAGCATTGTCTAGCGTTAAGGGGGCGAAAAGCAAACACAAACAATCGCCAGTCAGTGATTGATTGTAACAGCTGGGGAAGTCACCAAAGCAGGGGTGGGCAAGGATTTTAAACCAGGTGTGGGAAGCACGCAGTCGAATCTAGTGAGCGTGAAAACGTAAAGTTTGTGAACGTACAACTTACGCAGACTACGATCATAATCTAGCAAGCCTATTGCAGGGCCAGATTGAATCAGTAAACGGGCCAGATTTGGCCCGTAAGTCGTAGTTTGCATTAGAGCGCGGTATTTCTTATTCTAAAGGTCGCGGGTTTGCATTCTTTGACCGTTAGGTGATACAAATTCGATCAATCTGTGTAGCTGCTTTGTGCGCTTTTTATAGTTGCATATGTCGTTAATCTAAAGGCCGAGGGTCCAAGAACTCACTCTTAAGTAAATTTTGTGATTTCCCGTCAACATGCCAAGATCATAGGCGTAGGGGAAATGCCAATTTTTTTTTTTTGTTGAAATGCAATTTTGCGGCATTTACAGTGAGACATAAATTCGTACGCCTTTTTCAACACCATTTTACTCTATTCTTGAACGATTTACTGAAAACTGGCTTGCTATCAATAGTATTTTTACCAAATGAACCAGACGAGATAGATGTAAATGCGCGCTTATATGCCCTGGTTAATTTCGACAGTAAAGTAAGACTGTAGAGGGATTCTTTAAGATCTTGTTAGATAACTGTGGACGCTTTTAAATGATCTTGTTCGGTGTAAAAGACGCGAGTAAGCGTCGTTCCTTGTAGGCCGCAGGTTGCGGTTGGTGTAAATTACTATTTAATACTGTGGTCTAAAGTTCGTGACTTTGCGCTAATTCATCAGCTTTAGCGTGGACGCAAATATTTTACGTCTCGCTGCCCTTGAAACGAATACCAGCGCACTTCTGCGTTGGCAACAAATATTTATGGATTACTCAAGCGTTGCACAAATAAAGAAATAATTTTACGATTCGGTCTTAAATCACGCTAGTTTAATTCAGCTGTAATATAGAGTTATTCTTTTTTCACTCGGACTAGATGAAATTTCATATGAAGCCATGGAGTGGATTAAAAACCGTTATCAATGAAAAAACGATCATCATCTTTCACGTATTGATAAGTTGTCATAATCAAGTCAAGAATTTTGAAAAGGAGGTTCTGGAATTCCTACTTGCCAAGTTAGTCCGTATCAGTTATTGGCCCCGGAAAACGCGGGATTTCAGAAGTTTTGATGATCTAAAAAGCGTATGAAGTCCCGGAGCATGCCCGACCCAAAAGTAAATGGGAAAAACAATTATCATCTTTTCAGTTTTTAACCCGACAGGCCGTCAGAATTTAATTCATAAGAATGGGTTATATGAAAATAAAATAAAAAAACTTTTTTTTAAAAACAGAAAAGGGCTTATGATAGCTTAACCAAACGTTAAGTATTGATGATCGAATTCACACGTGGCGTCATAAAACATGACGTCATTATTGCAAATCCACCCCCTGAAGAAAAGGCCAAAATAATCGACTAGGCCATTTTGGTAAGAGGTCTTTTTCCACACCAAGTCCTGCAAAAGTCATTGAACTTATATTAGAGTTCATCGAAGGTCAATGAACTGAGGTCACGCAACAACGCGAGTGGATAACAGTTCTTGACCTGATAGCCAGGCCATTGTTTATTTTTCAGTCTAGACCAGATGTAATTGGAGAAATACGGAAAATGAGTAAAAATTTGAAGTAAACTGAAAACAGCGATGACAATTACAGTAATTGCCAAGTTACACCGTAACAGCAAGCGGGTCCATAGGTTTTCAAGAGTTTTCGAGTCTAAAACTGTTTCAAGCAGCGAACAATTGCTATGTATACTACGGATCAATTTTTTCGTTTTCACATTTTACAAACTATCCTCTTGGTCATTTGAATCGAATAGTAAACTATTCGAATCGGTTCCCACAAATCCTGACTTATGTCACTGCTAAATATGCGCCGTAGCAGGCATTTTTATAGACTCCGAGATTATTTTTGATGTAAGTTGATACATTTAGACCAGGGGTGGGCAACTTCCCTAGTCGGTGGACCAGATGTGGGAAAATGAAGTCCTCGGCGGGCCGGATTATTACAAAAAATACTTCGATATCCAATCTTTGTCAAATGCTCGACACTCTCTGTCAACTTTACGTTTCTTGGGATATTCCATGGTTAATAAAACTTAATATAAAATCTAATTTCTAAAATCTATTTATATTTAGAGTATAACTGATAACAGTAGTGGGGAATGTTTACAACGCTCTATGCTTTGACCTTATATTGTTTGTTTAACAAGTATGCTAACGCAATTGTTTGTTCACTAAGGCAATTGTTTATTTCACCAGCTTGCACTGACAGTGTGGTGAGAGTAGAGCGATCGGCAACTTTCATGAATGATGCGTCGGACCACATTACAGGGTGTGGTTGGATACAGTCAGCGGGCCGGTCAAAATCTCGTCGCGGGCCGGACCCGGTCCGCGGGCCGTATGTTGCCCACCCCTGATTTAGACGGTCTCCTGAAGTATGCGCAACAAGATGTGGCGTAACCTGAACCCTAACCTGGTACACAACCTGAGTTCAGGCTGTGCGCCATGTTAGTGCGCATACTTCAGGAGGTCCATTTAGACTCGTGAACCTCTCAACGTGAAATTGCACCAGTCGTTATTTTCTCTCGAAGGTAATAAAAACTAAGAGCTTCGTGTTCAGCTGTTACCCTTATCTATATTAAAACTGGGTGCTCCCGGAGTATTTGTACTAAGATGGCGCACAACCTGAACAGAGTATGTGTACCAGGTTAGGGTTGTTCAGGTTGTGCGTCATCTTGGTACGAATACTTACCCCGCGCAAACCGTTAGCTTACTTCTCTTTCGTCACTGACTTGTGTTAAAACGATCGATCAAATTTGGAAGCGGTACTGTGGTCCACCATCTCCGAAATCGAGCCAAGATTCGATCTTTTGTGCGAGAATTGGTCGGAAGCACATCGGTCTCATTAAATAAATTGCCCATTTTATCATTGATTTTTCAATGTTTTCTGTATAATTGAACTTGGTACTCCCGTAGGATGTGTACCAGGTTAAGGTTAGGCCATAATTTTATTCCGATTTGCTTTATTTTAGTTCTATTACAAGTTTTGGGAATGTCTATGTTAGCCAAGTGTACATACTCCCTGCCCATAGGTTTCAGTTCCTTTACACAACTTGATGTAAAGTAGGTGAACAAAATTAGTTACCTCCATATTGGTACACATACTTCTGGAGCGCCTTAAATTTTACTTCATTCTTATTTTAGTTTCTTGGGGTCGCAAAAAAATTTGATCATGACAAGTGGGTCATGATGAGAAAAGTTTGAAAAACCCTAGATCTTATCAATGTATCACTGATGTTTTTTTTTTATACCTCAATGCGTGCCTTTGCGTGGTGTCACTTAACTTAAAATAAGGTGAGTCGCTCGAGCTTGGACGAAAAATAGCGTGCTTGGTGTTCGAACATATTGCGAGAGTAAAGCAACTTCTTTTATTTTGCCTGTACTAATCCCTCACAACGTAATTTGAACCTGGAAAGTAGAGAAAAAAACACTTACTGTTGTACTTCCTTCTGAATGCCTTCTGGACTGCGATCTAAATCCTGGTGATCTCGGTTCGTGGTAAATCCGAACGTTTCGGTCATCGGTAGGGAGTTCGTATTCGGTCGGAAAGCGAATAGGCTGGAAAGTAGGGACAGTATATCACATGAACTTCTTAAAACTCAAATTTTCTCTCTAAATGCCTCTTGTCAGAATGTAAGGCGAATTGTTTAAGATTGGGATAAAACACACAAATTCATTAAGACGTCACCGTAATATGAATTTCTTCAATTACAATTTTCCTTTTTAGAATAAGAATCCATACTGTAAGATGAATTTTTTTTGTGACGCATTTTTGTATTGTTACGTCAGGTCTTTGTTAATTTTTACTTTTTGACGTTATGTTTGTACTGTTACATCACATTTTCTGAAATAATATTGTACTGTTCAATATTGTCACGCTTTTGTCAATTTTTCTTGAAGCTCTCGCTTTAAATGAATTCCTTTTAATCAGGGTAGTGACGTTTGAGTCCGGTAATTTTGCTGGTGCCGGAGTCTCAAACTTATCGAGATGGAAGTCGAAATTTTGCAATATCCGGATAGCGGAAACTCCGGAGTTAGTATCAAACTATCAAAATGAAAAAGAATAGGTCTACCAGTTTGTTATCGTAAAGTCGGAGTCAAAAATTCTTGATCCCGGATCTGTTTTTTTTCATTACCGGATAGTATATCCGACTCCAGATCTATAAGTGAAATAAACTTACCTTATGTGCGTGCATCGTTCTTGCCGGATATTGAAAAAACTCGTGCGCACAGGCAGGGTAACTTTGAACGGGTGGATAGTACGAATCCGCTGGCCTATGATAATGTCCAATGACGTGATTTGATGACGTGTCATGATAGTATCGGTTGATGGAGTGATGTTCCAATGACGTCATAGAGTTTGGTGACGTCATACAAGTGAATAGTATCCGTTTACTTTAAGAATATTATACTATTGAAAGTTATCACATTGCAAGGCAGTTTTACTGTGAAATGAAGAGCGACCTTTGAACCAGGAAAACGGAAATATAAATATAATTACCGACAGGAACAAATAGCTCCGAAGAGCAAGAGCGTATCGATACTGCCGGAATATGTGAACCAAGATGGCGGACATCGGAACATAGTATGTGTACCAGGTTAGGGTTGAACCATAATTTTATTCCGATTTTCCTCATTTTATTCTATAACGAGTTCGGGGACCAAGTGACTCACGTAGTATTTGTATCTGAAATTATGGCCTAACTTGGTGCACATACTACTTTCAGCTGTCCGCCATTTACTTCGGGAGTACCAACGTAGTTATACTTTTCTCAAGATACTAATTCCAACATCAATCATCATCTCAGTGGTTCGTTGCCAGACTTTTCCCTACATTCGTCTCCCTTTGGCCATTTCGAGATCTTTAATACCCCTCACTCGACATAAAAGCTAAATTCCGGTTTATTGTTCAATATTCAACAGACCATTAGCTGATAGTTCGCGGAAGGACGTTTCAAACTTTTCTGCTACCCGGGACGAGTTTCTGATTATGCTTCCCCTTGAACCTAACTTCAAAAATAATTCGGGGGATAAACAAAATATAGATGTTGTTATACACGAGAATGAATAAATTAAATGTCAATTAAGAGTGAAATGTTCGTAATATTATTATTTAATAAACAAATTCACCCATACAACGTGCTCCCCTTTGTCCCGCGCTCTCACTACCCCCCTCAAAAAAAAAATCAATATTCTTCCCGTGTGGGGAAACGCTCGGTTACCTGCGTTTGTCTAACTAAGTGAAATGAGTTGTCACTCACAGGCTTATGACGTAACAAACGTTCTTTTCAATCAACGCCGTCAACAAACACACTGTGAAAAAAATAGTTCACCTAACTGGAATTTTACAGTTACTAATTATATTTGCAATTTAAATTCGTCTTGCGATCTTTTTGCCAATGATTTGAATTACAGTAAAATTCTTTTATATCGACGATTCTTTACAAAAGCAAATGCTTATTTATAACTAATATAATGTTTTTAGGTATGGCCAAGCTTGGCAGACGATAAAACAGAAAACAAACATTATCTAAGATTCATGTAAGGCCGACGATAAAATTCACGTTGCGGAATAACGCTTTTTGATTGGCCAATTGGAATTTGAAATCAGGCCGCTCGAATTCGCTGTCGCTCACAAGCTTAGAACGGAAACTCCCGTGGGAACCATATCAGGATACCTCTAATATAGCAATGCCCACTTCGAAAAAGAATTTTGATGTTTGTTGATCGCCAGTCGAAAACTGATGATGCTTAAATGCCACATTCCCTATTCCAGGGCTACTCAACTATTTTCACCAAAGGTCCGTTTAAGAAACTTCAAAATTACCAATGCATGGACATTTCTGAAAATTTATTTTATCAAATAAAGAAATGCAATATTAAATCAAATACAAGAACAATGAATGGCTCGCAAATATGGACACAAATGTCTCACATCGGTACAAGTACAACAAACTGTATAGCTGGTTATTTAAATTGTATCAAAAATCATCTAATCATCATCTAAAAATCATCTGCCAAAATAAACAAGCAGATGCGGTCCAAATTGATTGGTCGAAAGGTCCGAATTCGTACCGCGGTCGGCCAGTTAGGTAGCCCTGCCCCAGACCAGAGTTTCTCAGACTGTATTCCGCAAAACACTGCCATACTGCGAGCTCCTTCGTTCCACAGAACAGGGATCAAAATTGCGACTAAATTGATCGCCATGGCGATCTCGGTCGTACTGCGTCGACTCTGGGTCGTGAATTTGTCTCCAAACAGGCGGACAAACCCTGTTATCTGAACGGGGTGACAGGCCTCGTGCCAGTATGGAAACATGGTCAACCGTTCAATATCGTTTACCGTTGGCCTAATTTTTTAATCGTAAAGTCTATAGCAAACTTTTTAATTTCACCATAGGCTAAACTTTTTGCTAACAACTCGTCAATTTTACCTTCTAATTTCTTGGTGTTCTACAAGGCGAGATATAAAGCGTAGGCCTTCCGGGGCAAAATAGTTTAAGAAACGCTGAACTGGACTATCTCAAATCTAACTCGAAAATACAAAAAAAAAATGAATAGAGCACAAAATGATTTCAGATTTTCATACTTCATGAACGATAATCGCCGTATCTTATGTTTTCTTCCATCATAATGCCTATGCAGGAAGATACAAATTCCCAAGAGTGAACTTTGAACCTTGGGTCAAAAGTCATGTGAAAGTTGACAACAACAAGGAGCGAATAATTGTGTAACTATATCGAACTTCTTCAACAAGATGCGATATGAACATGGATATCGCGTTTTCGAAAACAATTTATCCTGACAAATGGATGTTTCCCTGAGCCCCTTACCTTGACTATTGCAAAAAAAAATTACAAACTAAAAAATGAAAACTAAAAACTAAAGAAGGACATATAAAGTTAACAGTTTAGAGCAGCGGTGGGCACGTATTTTGGACAAGGGGTCAAACGCTTTACTCGCCGACTACTGGCGGGCTATGTAAGTGTGACGTAAAAAGTTAGACGTGACGCACAGATCAAGCACACGAGGCAAAATAAAGAACTGTAAAAATCACGCCGTCGAATCGATTGAGCGAAAAAATTTGAAGATTTGTTAAAGTCCCCATAAAGTGAAAGTCCGTGGCAACCTAAAATACGAGAATATCGGTCAGAGACCGAAGACTTATCGATCGAAAGAAAGGATCCCCGAAACAGCGCTCATACTCCATAGTGACACCTTGCTCGCTAATTATACGACATAATTCATCCAAAATCAAAAGGCTTCTGGTACGACATCTGATGAATGCACATGCAAAATCTGGAGCAGATTCAATCTCGGTTTCGTGAGATATCGCGTGCATCTAACAGACAAACAAATACCTATCAACATACTTACCGATTAAAATCGATAAGTAACAACTTACACAGACTGCGATCATAATCTAACAAGTCTAGTGCGGGGCCAGATTGAAAAACCAAGGGGCCAGTTTTAGCCCGCGGGCCCTAGGTTACCCGTGTGAGTTTAAGAGTCTAAACTACAAAAGCGAGTCAATGAATTCACCGAATCAAAACCGAATATTTATTTAAGTGTTTCGAACAAACGTAGCAAACTGTGGACACGTCAGTCAAACTTATTTGCACCACAGAGGCGACCACAGATATTTGCGACCATAGAATTCTCAGGAGAGGTTCCTAAGTGATTCTAAAGTCTTTGAGGTTAAAGGTTAAATGAAATCTGACACCTCAAAACCGGAGATGATATTTATAGACTCCGCCATTCCAAAGATGACTCAAACCAACGCAATGGGAAAACTGGACCGCAAAAATTTGGTGCTTAGAACAACAGTGTGCAACTTTTTTAGCTTGCGGATCCGTAAACCTTCAGAAATTTCTCACATAAGTAAGTTGTACAAAAAATCAACAGTAATTTAATGGGTTTGTCACTGAGCTCGGGATATTCTTCTCAAGCGATATCCAAAACTGTCACAATGGCAAGTAGTCTTCATGCTTCGTGCCTGGGGTGTGCAATCTTCAACACAGGAGGGCCAGATACAAATAACTGTATTTAACATAGGCTTTCTAGTAGTTGCAGGCAAAAAAAAATTGGTTATCAATCTTATGATATGCGGTGTACACTTATACACGCATAAGCTAGCTGTTATAAATAACATTGTAACGTCATAGGCATAGATTGATAAATTATCCAAAAGAATATTCTTCTTTTAAAGTTGTTTTAATGCGGGTTGGGGGGTTATAAATATCTTGACTGGGTTGCGGAACATTTTTCAGAGATGAAACCTTTCGGCGATGAGTTTTCTGGGTGCATCATTTTGAATATTTATCAACGAGATCTGTCTGTTATCTACCCAGTCGTATATAAAAAACAGTGGCCTTCATTATATTCATCGTTCTGATGATGTTTGTCTGTATAGACCAACGGCTAGGAAAAATTATTTTTTTAATATTCCTACGAAACGGAAATGAAACGACAATTCCGTTGCATTCGAATTTACCAAAGTTAGTCTATAATGTTCGCAATGCGTGCATTTCTCGTATTATTAAAGTGGTGAATAGAGGGGCTACTAGAGCTAAAAGCCACAAGCCATAGAAGATTGGGAACCACTGGTATGAACATTCGAAACGTTGGCCAAACCTACGTTGCTTCCTACGAGTTGCGCATGTCATGCTACGAATATCCCTGACAGCAATCACTCTATATATTCTTGTAGCCCGTAGTTTTTACTATTCTTTCACATTGTCAGGTTAAGAAATTTTTCACCTACTCCCCAGACACGGTCCAGTGGTTTTGGCTTATTGCAGGGAGAGAAAATCACTAAAACCAGACTATCTGAGTCGCAGTAATATATAGGGTGTCCATCAAGTCTTAAATTGTTTTAAAATTGCAAAGAAAAATTCATCAATACCATACATTGTTTTGGCGCTCACAGATGTATTAAATGAAGTAAAATTACTTAAACAATTACTGATTAAAAAACAACAAACCTGATTAAGATATACCGAGAACTGACTTCATAACAAAACTGTAAAGAGACTTTAGGGACACTCATTGAATACTGCTTCAACTTTTTGTGCCGATCTCCTCGTAATTCACACTCAACATTCTAATACTCATATACACTTAACGCATCATCGGCATTGGCACATATTTTTGCATATATCCTCAATTACTCGTATCAACATTTTGTTTAATACTCCACGATTTTCATTGAATGCAAATGTAAAAAATATTCTGGATTTACTCAATTTCCTCTCAACGTGGATAGGGTACGTCACTGTTTATGCTCTATTCGAATGACTCCACATATCCCTGTTACACATAGCAAGCTTAACACAAGAAATACAACAATACCAACAAAAGAACCAATAACTAACAAAATCTAGTTAAAATTTAAACCTTTACGCTAATCTTCCAAACAGAAAAAATACAATTAAAATAAG